TTGGGATGAGAGTCTCTTCGATTGTTTCCTCCTCTTTTCCGTACTTTCGTCTCCTCCATTTAAACCATTTTACCCTTTCCTTTGTCACCTTTCATTTCCCCTTTACCTCTCAACCTAAACCTATAGATTCGTATACAACGTGATTACAACTTAAACGCGAAGTAGCAGGGCTAAGAAAATACCTGGAAATACAAATGCTTCACACTTGTGGACGCTAATCTTGCACTTCACCTTCTAGCACTTCTTCAACAAAACATACGAATGATGAGCAAATACTCAAGAGTGTGCGCACAATCCCTTTTTAATGACTATTTTTACATCCCTCCAGAACCCAAGCGTTTTCTTTACAAATCACACATCCCCAGGGCTGTCGTTTCTTATGTGACACTCATTTTTTACATCCCATAACTCTTCAGCACGTGCACTGAAACGCCGCGCCCTTTGGGGTACCAGCTGTCATTTTCCCTATTACTGTGACTCCTCATGTCACCTCAAGTGCGCACTTATTTTTTACGCTTTGACCCTTCATTATCTAATCTCGGTCATCTCCACATTTGGGCCACTTCAGCCTCATTAACCTCTTTTCGCTCCTATCTCGCTTAGAGCTTGGGGGGCTTATGTACCAACCTGGCTAAAGCCGACCTTAACCGAGTTCACTAGATAATTCGGACCGAGATAACCATTTGTGTAAATTAGGATAAACATATGAAATGCCGAGGTGTAACATCGGAGAAAGAAGACTGGTAATACACCTCGGCACACCGAGATGACGTGGCTTAACCGCCAATAACCTTCAGACAATAACCAAACAACAGTTACACGGTTACACGAGGACAACAACAGGTAATAATATAAGCAGTACATGACATGGGAGAGGGAGAACTAACTTGATCGTCGGAGTCCTTTTTGCAGGTACATCCGAGGACCTCAAGAAGAAGATCGGAGATCGCGAAGAGAATTGAACCTGGGGAAGAAGGCTTCCCATACCAAAAGACGAGTTGATATCGGTGACATCGGTAAGAACACTTCCCAAAACAGAAGTTGGAAAAGCAGCACAAAGGGGTCAATAATAGGCAGTGGTACCCCCATTTGCGAAATAAGTCAACACAAAGCAAAACAAGTTGGGGAAAATGGATTTTGATTTAGGCTAATACATGTCGTAGGTTGATTGTTTACTTTGATTTTGGTTATCAAGAAACCACACTAGCTGAGAATTTGATTTTTGGCCACCACCTATTAGAGCTAGAACACCAGCTCTACTACAATCATGTACCAATCATGATTCCTTCATGAGCTCAGCCACCATTTATTCCACCACTTTTGTCAGAGTTTCATGCCTCACAAAACCAGTTCGACTACCTGTCATTCATCCTATATTGTGCGTTATTTCTTCAACCTCGTTCTATTCTACAAAGTGTTGCAGAGGATAGGGAGGGTGTTTGAAGGAAGAAGAGAGAAAAGAGGAAGAAATAGAGAAAGAAATGATAGTAAACACATACATGTTTATGTCAAAGTAATAAATTTTCAATTAAAACTTCGTTGCTTTGTTAAGTATCCATTACCTGTTTTTATTAAATGAATTTAATGTGTTGAACTAGAATATTGTAACATATATATATATACATATATATATATATATATATAT